AACCCACCTGGTGAAATGCAAAAGGGCTTTCAGGGAAGGGTAGCCCTGAGTCAAGGGATTGAGTAAACAGGGGACTCCCAAGAGAGAGCCCCAGGCCTCAGCTTGTGGGATGTGCTCAGATGAGCCATGGGGCTGGTCATGGGTGGGGTTTTGCAAACTATCCTAAGGAGTTGGGGGTTTCTCCCGAAAGCTGTGGGGAGTGGCCTGGCCACACTTGTTTTGTGGAAAACGCTCTCACTATCTCAGTTCAAGGAGAAGATGACCAGAGGCCTAGAGGCCAAGGCAGAGCCCACAGGAGTTATGCAGGGAAAGGGGATGGGAAATGTGAAGTGAGACCCTTGCAATTGGGCAGGGAAGGGGCCAAGCATCGAACATTATCAGGAACAAAGACCTGCTGACAGAGCTCAAAGAAAATGGCAAGCAAGAAGGAATGAAGGGGAACACCCAGGTGCTGAGTTGGGTACCTGGGTGGACTTAGGAGCTTCAACTACTTTCCAACCATTTGCTTGCTGCTATTTATTTATTTATTTATTTACTGTACCAGAACTATTTAATCTCCCAGCTGAATAAATGCCTTTGAGGGAGAGGCCACCTTCTTCATTCCGCCATCATAACCTTTCACATCTGAACCCTTGAATGAATTGTTTTTGATGGTCCCTGCCCTTTGGCAGCCTGACACCCATGCCCAGAGATTTAGCTTTTTCTTAGGAAAGGAAATGCTTTTCTGCCAATCAGAACAAGAGACCCATTTCCTGGAAGTGAAATCATGACTGGTGACCCCATGCCATATATGACCGTTGTAGTAGTGTTAAATCCATTATTGGTGACTGCATGTAGGGTATGAAGGTTGTAAGTGAGTGTGACTGTTCTCCAGAAAATAGAGGTTCCATCAAGAATGCCAATTCACTTTCTTTAAGAGATACAAGAGATCATTGCCCTAGGTACATGTATGATGGCACGAATGGTGTGACTCCACTTTGTGGACAACCAGAAGTGAAAAATTGTGCTCCGTTTGTGTGCTATAAATTGAAGTGCATTCTGCTGTCATGTATAACTAATTATAATAAATAAATAAAAGAGTTCCAAGAGACCTGATCTTTCAGATCCTCTCTAATTCCACAGGGTTTAATTGCCTTTTAGAATACTATATTCTGTGCTTAAGAAAAATCAAACTGACTGCATGCAGGGTATGAGGGTTGTAAGTTAGTGTAACAAAGAAAGCCCCTGAACCTAATCAATCACAGAATTTCAGTTAGGCAATTTGTGAAGCTTAAGTATTCTCCATCCCAAAGTGATCCATACTCTTGGCCTCCAGAAGAAAACAGCAGGGTCCCATCACAGAGATATCTGAAACGGAGTGTGAGAAATTAAATAATGTGTACTCCAAAGGTGTCCCCATCCCAGTCTCTGGAATCCATTAATCTGTCACCTGACGTGGTGAAAGGGCCCATATGCATATGTATGTGTGTGTCTGTGTGCCCCTTTACCATGTCGGGAGATACACTGCAACAGTGATTATGTTAAGGATCTTGAGATAGGGAGATCCCCCTGGATTAGCTGGTGGTCCCAGTGTCATTGCTGGAGTTCTTCTTGGAAGGAGATGGGAGAATCAAAGTTAGTGGTGAGGTTAGGGGCTGTAATGGTGCAAGAGGTCTGAGTGGCATGCTGTCAGGTGGCCCATGAGCCAAGGAACAAAGAAAGCTTCTCCAGAAGCTAAGAAAGGACAAGCAATGGAATTTCCCTCAGAGCCTACAAAGAGAGCTGGGCCCACAGGCACCCTGCCTTTCACCCAGAGAGACTGACTTTGAACTCCTGACCCCTATAACTGTGAAGGAATACATTTCCATGGCTTTATGCTACTGGGGTGATTAAATTTTATGTCAATCTGGCTAGGCTCTGGTGCCCAGGTGTTGAGTCGTCTGTGTGTAGATGTTGCTCTGAAGGTGCCTTGTAAATGCAATTAACATTCCTAACCATTTGACTTTGAGAAGAACAGATCATTCTCAATGGTGTAGGCGGGCCTTGCTCTATCCATTGAAGACTTGAAGAGCAGAATTTGAGGTTTCCCAAAGAAGGCATTCCTAAGATTGTACACGAAACCTCATCTGAGTTCCCAGCCTTCAGGTCTGTTCTGCAGATTATAAATTTGCCACAATTGCATAAGCCAGCTCCTTAAAACAAAGCTATTTTGAAATAGATACATAGATAGACAGACAGACAGATAGATAGATGGATAGATAGATGGTCTTCATCCTATAACAATTCTACTTATAAGTTTTCAATTTAATAATGGTGTGAAAATGATACACACTAAGTAGAATCCATGCTTCAATTTTTGCATTTTGATCTTTGCAACTAATGTGCAGTACAATGCTCTCTCAATAGTAGGCAGTGGCAATAAGGCTCAATTCACAGTCAGCCTCACAATCAATCACAAGAGGAAGCAACCAACACTCTACGGTGTGCTGTGTTGCTAAGTTATGATGTCCTGTAGGTTTGGTGAATTAAATGCATTTTTGATAGGACTTTTTTAAACTATAACAGGTTTATCAGAATGTGACTCCATTGCAAATTGGGGAGTATCTCTATATGCCATGAGCCCACCCTTACCAATACACCCACTAAGTATACAGTGATTTGTTATAGCAGCAATAGGAAACTAATACACAGAGTAAATGGGAAGAGATACCTGGCTTTGCCTGTTTCTGTCAATGATGTTCTCCATCCTGCGTCTTCATCTGAAAGGTCATATATATTTACCAGCTTGGTCTCTGAGCATCTCAACGGCAATTTGTTAATTTTCTTTGGAACTGAGAGTGCAGGGATCGGGGTTTCTTGAGTTAAATTGTTATCTGTTTTTCCAGAGTGATCCAGAAAATATCTGGTCATGAGTTCAAGGTTTGTTTTTAGAGGATTTTCTTTTGCCTATCGTTGAAAGAGGAAAAGAAACATTAATTATGTGAACAGCTTCCAGGGAAGGAAGGGTGGGAAAGTAGCTATTCCAGTTCTTTGAAATAAGCTTATCAACTTCTCACTCACTTGTATATACTTTCAGAAAATAAGAGCTGGCTGCCTATAACATATGCCAGGCACCCACCGAGGGGGGCAGGGATACAGAGGTGAAGACAACATTTCTATCCCAGAAAAAAATAACATCCAATGCATGGCTCAATGAACAATTATACCAGGATTACCCAAGCAAATCTTTTGGTATTTTTCTCCTAGGAATAACTTTATAAAAAGTATATTCTTTTACAAGTAACAATAAATGTTGGCAAGGATGTGGGGAAAATGGTATATTCAAACATTGCTGTAAATTGGTGCAACCACTCTAGAAAGCAGTGATTCCTCAGAAAACTTGGAATGGAACCACCATTTGATCCAGTTATCCCACTCCTCAGCATGTACCCAAAAGGTTTAAAATTAGTGTACTACAGTGACAAGCTCAATTCACACTATCTAAGCTATGGAATCACCCTAGATGACCTTCAACAGATGAATGGATAAAGAAAATGTAATACACATACACAATGAAATATTACTCAGCCATAAAGAAGAATGAAATAATGGCATTGGCTGGTAAATGGATGGAATTGGAGACTATCCTGCTAAGTGAAATAAGCCAATCCCCCCACCCCGCCCCAAAAAAGGCCAAATGTTCTCTCTGATATGCGGATGCTGACTCACAATAGGTGGGGAGAGGGAGGAGTGGAAGTTCACCAGATTGGAGGGGGGGGGGAGTAGGGGAAAGGGAAAGGGAGGGAGATGGGAATTAGAAAGACAGTAGCATGAATTGGACATAACTTTCTTATGTTCATATATGAACACATGACTGGGGTAACTCCACATCATGTATAACCACAAGAATGGGAAGTTATACTCCATATATGTATGATATGACAAAATACATTTTACTGTCATGTATAACTAAAAAGAACAAATAAAAATTTAAAAAGAAGCAAAAATATATATTCTTCGATTTAAACAAAGTCTTAATCCATAGGGACACTAACAGATTCATAAGCACTTAGGGCCTGATTATTTCTTAGTATGTACCCTAACCCTTTAGCACCAAACACCAGCGATTAGAGATCACTGGAACAGAAGGTTAGTATGAAAAGCAGAGAGAGGCAGTCAGGTTGACTCAGTTTACACCCCAACCCTAAAATAAATAAATAAACAAATGAGACTTTTAGTGGCAGCTTTTGTAAATAAATGATAGTGCAGCCCTGCCTGCACTAAAATATTCTCTTTGAAAGTTAATATAGATTCTCATGACACCCTGAGGCCCTCTAAGCCAAACTAGCCAGAATCAGAGCCCTGATTTCTCCTAAAATTCCCTCAAGTGATTTGGACAGACATGGCCACAAGCCACAGGATGGCCTCAGCAGCTGCCATGCCTCAGTCACCACCCATGTACCTGGAACGACCCAGGCCCTGCTGAGGGGTGGCCCGACCTGGGCCCAGTGGTCATGTGGTCAGAGTGGTGAGCCATGTGACAGGCACCTGGAGCCCAGAGCGACCTCCGAGCAAGTCAGCTCCTTCCTGCCTGTTCTTGTGATTCATGTCGCAGAATGCTCAGACCCACAGCCAATGGACCAGGACCAAACTCAACAGATTTATCAGACGGTTAATATCAGAGGAATGAAATAATGGCATTTGTTTACTCATTGTTTTAGTAGGAGACCAAAGACGAAAAAAAAAAAAAAAAGATTATTTGTCAAAGTCTAAAGCTTACAATGAAGAGAGATGAGGGAAAGATTTAATCTGTTTAACTTATTTCGGCCTGCATGCTTTTTCTCTCAATCAGGGAGACTGAGGGCCCTGGAGGGTCTGAATTATACATCAGGGTTTTCACATCACTTGGCTCACAACAGACACACCCTATGTTTATGTGAATCTAGACACCATTTCTCAAAACCTCAATTTTCCACGGCATTTTAATCTATCATATACCCAACGGGAGAAAAAGCAAGTTATTTGGAATATTAACATTACGTTTATAGGGCTTTCCAGGATCACACTAGCTTTGGGCTGAGTGAATGTCAAAATTAGCATGCAACGAGCAGACTAATGAGCACATTTTTTCTGTAAAATATAGACTCTCATTCATTGTATCCCAGCTGATGACTACTATTTAAATCAAATAATCAGGGCACTTACCAAAGTGTGATGGAAACATATTAAGTAGCTTGGGACAACAGTTATCTTAGGGAGGCTGAATATGGTAAGGAAATAGAAATCACTTCAATCGCACAGATACTGCTGATAAATTAGGTAAAAGTGATTTTCCATAAGATCCCACTGTACCAGAAGGGACAATTGTGTTTTCTGGGCAACAAACCTCAGCCCTGTGCAAAATCTTAAACTGCACAGTCCACTCTCCTGCCTCAGAATCCAGCAGATGGAGGATGGTGGGATATCTGCTGCCTGGGTGAGCAGTTTTCTTGACCAGAATGGCTCACAGGAGAGTAAACAGGAACATACAGGAAACGAAGGGGTAAGTGTCACCCAGATGCAGAGGATGAAGGCCATCTATGTGATGTCTTTACTGAGCCTCTGATGTGACTTCACCTGGCTGCCATGACCTTTTGCTCCTCAGAGGTAAACAGGAGAATTTCTGGAAACCGGGTGCACTCGTGAGTTGAGGCCAGCTGGTTGGGGTGTACAGATTTTCCTGAAAGTCTGTTCTTGGCTCTGTTGAGGAAAACCTGGCCTAAGTCCCTTCCTGGCCCACGATACATATTTAGATGGTCTCCAAGTGGTTCGGAGGTCCCACTAGGTGTCTCAGGAGTAGCCTTGATCTCATCCCTATAACAATCCAATCAGCTAAGATATTGTTTGTAAAAAAAAAAAGCATTACAAATTAAAAAGAAATAAATAAATGCTTGACCACCTTTGCTGTGATAGGATTGGGAATTGGAATCCGTACCCCATGACTGACCATGAAACCTGGACAGCCACTTTTCTGTAGCTCACAGCTTCCCCCTGGAGGCAGGAGGGATCCCATTACATGACTGATTTAAAAACTGCTTCACAGGGCCTTGGGGGTCTGATCCAGAAAGCCCAGAAGGCAGGACCTCCCTCCCCACTTCCAATAAGGTGCCTTCCTTTCTTTGGTTTTGTATATTGGGCTTCTGCATGAGATGTCTTTGTATTGCCTTGTTTTTAAAATTCTGATACATGATCAATCAAAAGTTTCTTTCTGACTCCATCCAACCACAGAGCAACATATTCTCGAGAGCCCATTCTTTGAATTACAAGATTCTACTAATTAAGACGGGGTTGTGGCTTCATTCCCTCATATAGACACGTTTCCATCTACTCATTCATTTATCCCACAAACACAAAGGGATGCCTCATTGCGTCATCAGATGATAACATGAAGTTCAGGGACGCAACAGTAAACAGAGGTTGTCACTACCTTGGCTGCCTGGGGAAACAGATACTAATTAAAGAAGCACACGACTACTCTATTACCCAGGAGACAAACACACACAAAAGAAACCCAAGGGGCGCCATGAAAGCCAGTAACAGCAGGTGCCTAGGACTGAGGCTGGGGAAATCAGGGAAGCCCCCTCCCACCCAAGGAAGAGCCTGCCACTTGCTGTCCCAACTCCAACGCACCTAGGTTAAGCTGAACCCAACTCCCACTTTTGCCTGAATGATATGTCACAGTACACTGCAGACTAAGGCCTTACTCAGAACCAAAGAAGGAAAGTCTTACACCGGCAGGGAATGGAAAATTTTAGTATAACCGAATACTATATTATTAAGTACAGTCTTGCTAAAAATAGCCTCATATGCCTCGTGTAGGGAGGAGGGAGCACAGGGGACGACTTGAAGCTGGCACAGCCACAGGCTCCGGAACAAATGAGCGCAAAACAACCACAGGAGCGCAGCACGCCCCTGGGCAGCACGGGGCTGCCCAGGCTGAGAGCCGTGGGCCCTGCCAGCACTGGCTTTGGCTGTTTCTCCCCATTTTTTTTGACCCCTGTCACCTTTGCAGGCCCATGAGTGTTGCTCGGATGCCTTAAAAAGCACGAACCTTGTTCTCCCTGTAGAGAAATTCGAGATGCAAAACCTTGCGGAGATCATTTCTGCTGTTTATGCTGAGATCAGAGCGTGGGCGTTCCTGGTCCATGATCACACACGTCTTCTTTAAGCCCTGAGGGGAGAAGGCTGAATCACTCTTCTTCAAGTTAAATCAAAACCTTCCGTTCTCTGACGCAGGGTTTAAACAAAAACCAACTGATGTTGATTATGATCATCCTCATCTGGCCAGCTTTTATGAGTTGACTGCAAGTTAAGAATTCATTTTTACATAACCCAGCCTCACAGCTATGATTTCCTTACAGTGGCCCTGTGGGTGCATCGGGCTTCACCACGGATTCCCTACCAGTCAAGCCCTTTGGACAGCAGGTAAGGAGTGACATCCAGGTAACTGATTCACCCAAGACCAACTCAGGGGTCCCGGAGTTTGGCTGTAGATACGTGGCTATGGAATATGAAACTTCAAAAGTAAACGAAAGAAAAAAACATAACAAAAGGCCAACGTTCACTCCCTTCACCCCTGAGATGGATTAGGAGGGGGCAGGGTTGAGGGACCCATGACCACACAGTGGAATCACATAGCAGGTCTGATACCCCCCCCCAGCCTGTGAGCTTATGATTCTGGAACCCAGGCCCATGGGGAGCCCAGGGTGAAAGTTTTACTGGGTCACCAGCACAGCTGCTGTCCATCATCCCACCCTGAATGCCCAGAAACCTAGGTTCTGGAGACGATGAGGGGGGGAAGCCCTGTCCCCAGCAGGAGCCTGGGTTCTTCCTTTGCGCTGCTGCCTGCCTTTTCACCAGCCACCATGACCTCTGAATGGCTGCAGGATGGGGACATCCTCACAAAGGGCAAGGCCTGGGTCAAGAGCATCTCTTGCTCCTGATGGATCCCGGACCCCCCAGCGCTAGACAAGCCTCGACTTCCCCCCAGCCTTTGTGTTCAGAATTTTGGGGTGCTTTACCTGCTGGGAAAGCACCATAAAAGACCAACCCCGCCCCCACCCGGCTTGCCATGCATTTAGGTAAGATGGTCAATTTTGGAAAACGAGGTACACACATGACCTTGAACCAAAGATTGAAAAGGAGCACCTAGGAAGGGCCAAAGAAATATGGATGTGTGCAGTGGAGAAGAGGTGGCCAGGCTGCATGAGGAGGGAGTATCCACTGGAGGGAGAGGCAGGCCTCAAAGCAACCACTGCATCTCATCAGGCCTGCGCCATGGCTTCCCCACTGGTCAAAGCGATGGAGAACGTTCTATGTGAGCCTTCCTCTCTGATGGATATCTCTTCATGTTCAGCAACTGTTCCAATCACCAAATCCAGGTTCACTTACTCTCCCCCATTGTGATGCACACCAACATTTGAAAACCACTAGGGTAGGGCCCCAGGGTGCTCTCAGGAGTCAACTAGCCTTCAGTCCCATCCAGCCACTGAATCTGCATTCACTCGACAAACATTTGCCCTGAACCTACTATGTGCCAGGCTGTCCTAGATGCAGGAGGTACAGATGGAGAGAGAGCTCACAGTCTGTGGGAAGCAGACCGTTGATGAATGGTATGCGCGCACCGTGGGCAGCGGCTCACTGCACCACTGTGGAAATAGAATAGGGAGGGTGAACGCAAAGACAAGGCACAGTGTTTCATTGAGCATCATTCCTGAGCTCACTCTTGTCTCCTGACTTCCCCATCTATGAGTTGAAGGGAAACTCTAGTCTACTAGTCCAACTGCTGGAGGCAGAGGTGAACAAATCAAAGTCCCACCCTCATACAACTGGCATTCTATAGGGGAAAAAGACAAGTCTAATATGCTGGGGGTGGGACATATATAATATGAGTAGTGAGACAGAAAGGGCCAGGCAGTGAGTGGCATGGAGAAGGGTTGCTATTTTATAAAAGGTGATTAGGAAAGGTTTCATTGATCAGATGACAACGTAGCAGAGATGGGAGGGAAACAAGAGAACAGGCCATGCAGACACTTGGGAGAAGAGTGTTCTAGGCAAGGAACAGCAGCTGCAAAGTCCCTGTGACAGTTGCAAGTGCCAATGCATCTAGCATCTCACAGCCAGGGAAAGTCTCAGAAGGTGAGATCAGAGAGATCACCCAGAGCCTGGAAAGCAAAGATCATCTTTGCCATCCTTCTGATGGGACATAGGAGGATTTGAAAAGAGGACCATAGGGGACTAACATTTTTAAAGGAATGTTGGCTGCTAGGTTAAAAATAGAATATAAGAGGCAGGGGATTAAGCAGAAACCATTTAGGAGGCTACTGAACAGTGCCATTCCCATGAAAGGTGGGAGAGGGTTAGTCCGGGGTGTTTGCATCATTAGTGGTAAGAAGTGGCTGCATTCTCTATGCCCTTTGATAGTAAAGCCAACAGATGAGCTGATGGGCTGGACGTGAGTGGCACGAGGAAAATAAGAGTCCTTTACTATAGGGTCTACACTAACTCTAGTGTCAGAATGCAGTTGAATTGCGGGAAACTCAATTGGTGTCCGGAAAGTTGAAGACCTGGTTGGGGGAAAAACTCACAATTTGGCGTTGGGAATGTTGTGAGTGGGAACATCACTGTACATATCAAGTGGAGATGCTAATTAGACATCTAAGTGGAAATGCAGCACTCGAAGTTGGAAAGAATTCAAAGGATTCAGGGAGAGAGCAGCTAAACATAGGCATTTGGGAATTGTCAGCACATTGATGGTACTGGAATCATAAGACTGCATGAGATGCCTCAAGAATGAATGAAGAAGAGAAGGAAAGGGAAGGGAAGAGGGCAACAGACTGAGTCTTTGAGCCACCAGTGTGCACTGCACAGGTCAGAGAAAGGAGGGGCGACCAGAAAAGACCTGAGAAGGATCCACCAGAGAAGGAGGAGGAAGAGACAGGAGAAGAAGAAGCCAAGAAGAAGGCTGAAACCAACTGTAATAAGCACAATTGTTAGATCAAGAAAGGCAAGGTGGAAAGCAGTATAAAGATTTCTTGGAAAACTGGAAATGGAACCACCATTTGACCCAGCTATCCCTCTCCTCTGTCTATACCAAAAGGACTTAAAAACAGTATACTACAGGGATACAGCCACATCAATGTTTATAGCAGCACAATTCACAGTAGCTAAACTGTGGAACCAACCTAGATGCCCTTCAATAGATGAATAGATTTTTTAAAATGTGACATATATACACAATGGAATACTACTCAGCAATAAAATAGAATAAAATCATGGCAGTTGCAGGTAAATGGATGGAGTTAGAGGAGATAATGCTAAGCGAAGTTAACCAATCCCCAAAAAAAAACAAATGCTGAATATTTTCTTTGATATAAGGAGGCTAAATCATAACAGGGTAGGGAAAGGGAGCATGGGAGGAATAGACAAATTCTAGATAGGGAAGAAGGATGGGAGGGGAAGGGAGGGGCCATGGGGTTAGAAACGATGGTGGAATGTGATGGACATCATTATCCAAAGTACATGTATGAAGACACGAATTGGTGTGAATATACACTGAATACAATCAGAGATATGAAAAGTTGTGCTCTATATGTGTAATAGGAATTATAATGCATTCCACTCTCACAGAAAAATAAAAAATTAATTTAAAAAAATATAAAGAAAGAAAGGCAAGGAGCCCAGTGTGGTGGTGCATACCTGTAATCCCAGGGTGGCTCAGGAGGCTGAGGCAGGAGAATTACAAGTTCAAAGCCAGCCTCAGAAACCCAGCGAGACCCTATCCCTAAATAAAATATAAAAAAGGGCTGGGGATATGACTCAGTGGTTAAGAATCCCTGGATTCAAATGCTGGTACCAAAAAAAAAAAAAAAAGGCAAGGGGTTTAGAGGTCAATGATGACCTTGATAGTGGTCTCCATCAGTTGGTGGGAGAAAAACTTTTGATTCAGATGAGTCTGGGAAAGTGGGGAGAAGGGTTAGAATCAAAGCATACAGTTTTTTTAGAGGTTCCATTATAAAAGGGAGAAGAAAAAGACTAGTAGCTGGGGGGACTGGGGGTTAAGGTGTGGTCCTGCAGGAGTGTGTGCATACTCAGCAGAGAAGGAACGTGTGTGGAGAAGAGCACAGTGGCAATCACTAGGGCTGTGTCCTTGAGCTGCGGCAGGGAGCAGGCTCCCTCGCAGGGATGTCCTCGCCCAGGGCCTGGAGAATCTCTTCCCAGGAACAGGATGGAGTGCGTGGCTCAGGAAGGTCAGGAAGTGTGGGGGTGGGAGCCTGCGGGACACAGCTCATTTCTCATGACGGCTTCTGTTTTCTGAGAAATTAAATGGGGAAGGAGCTTGGGGTTTGAAGGAAAGAAGGTGTAAGAGAAAGAGGTCCCTGTAAGGACCAGAACCTCTGAGGAATCTCAGGGGTGAGTGGCTGTGGATTTAGAGGGATGCTATCAACATGGAGGTGTGTTTCTCCAATCCCACTCAGCTCTGCAGGTGCAGGCATGGAGTAAACCGAGTTGAATTTTACCCAGACCAGGGGAGTACAACAAAGGGAGAGAAGATCAAGGGGGTCGAGCGTATCATAGAGCAGGCAATTTTAATGACAGGTGGGTAAGGTATGGGAGAAGTGGCGGTAGGGCTGGGGGACCATGAAAGGTTGCCAAGAGCCATGGAATCAGATGCAGGAGAGGCTGGAGAAGGAGGAGGAGCTGGACATAGAACAGGTGGGATGCTTGGAACTGAAATGATGGAAAGGATGCTGGGCTGGTAAAGACACTCCTAGGGTGTGACTGTGAGAAATGGTGACAGAGGTCAAGGGAGGCATATCTCTGCCACAGCGGGACCACAGACCCAAGTGTCAACTCTAAGGATGCTCGTGTCACCTGAAGACTGCGATGAGTCTCCCTGAGGAAAGACCACGCTTGGTGAGTTCAAGCAAGCCCACATGGCTGGAAGGTGGTAGAGGCCATGGTCGAGGAGGTCCAAGGGGCAGCCAGGACATGGGCAGCCAGGACATGGGGTGCTGTGTGGCCTACTGAGGCTGGGAAGCTGGTGGAGTGTTTGAGGAGTGATGTGGTCTGACCCACTCACCCTGGGCAAGTGTCTCGGCCTCTTGGTCTCACAGCAGTCTTGCATGAAAAGGAATGCTGTAACTCCCTCTCTTTCAGGACTGCCTTAAAGATTTGGGAAAACAAACAGGCATCTAGAAGGTGCCTGGCACCCTGGGAATTCTTTGGGTCATGACTGTTGGGGACCTGCGTACACAGAGCCCTGTGAGGAGCTCAGGATCTCCGCCCTGGAGCCGACGGCGCTGAGAAGAGCACAGCCCTGGGCTGCAGCTGGCTCTTGTGACTTTCTGAGTGACTGGGGCCAACACCTTACGACTCTCAGGACCTCAGTGTGTACAGCTAAAACATGGAAATCAGGAATCTGGGAGGACTGGACAATCCCCAAGGTGCTATCCGGTTTGGGGGTCAGCTCTGTGGCTCCACCTAGGAGGTGATTCAGAGGAGGTGATTCAGGCAGATGTATTGACTATAACACGAGCACCAAAGAGAGAACACAGACCAGGATCAGTCCAGCTAGAGTCAGCTGAGGAGCGCTCAGGAAGAAATGGAATTTGGGGTGGGCCTGAGTAGATCAGGGGAAAACTTGGACGGGGAAGGAAGAAATGATGTTGGAGGGTAACCTGGGGTCCAGCTATAGGGCACCCTTGGCTGTCAGCAAGGACTATGGGCTTCATTTGTACCCAGGAAAGGAAGGGCATGAGGAAGCCTTCTAGGAGGTTTCGCTTAGTCCAAACTTAAAGGATGGTTGTGGTCAACCTCCTAAGGTGTGCCACAGATAATCCAAGGGGCAGCCAGGATTTGGTGATGGAAGCTCAAAGCCGATACAGTGACGCTAAATGCATTTAAATTTTTTTTCAAAATAAAGCAAATTATAAAAAGCCCACAAAAATCACTTTCAAAACAGGTGGGTATCAAAGATGAGGAAGCAGGTATGAAGTTAAATCCCTATGTGTGCATTGTATCTACTCATCAGATATAATGCTTACGAGCTGCCTGTGTGTTATTGTCAACCCTCATCATGAGTCTGTGAAACATGAGTCTTAATTTTCCCATTTTAGAGCCAAGTACACTGAGGCCACAAGTAATGTGCCCAGGTCACACTGCAAACTAGTAGCACGTACTTGAACCTCTTCCATCTAATCTCAAAGTCCTTTCTCTTTGCTCTATTTGACACATTGTGTGTGTGTGTGTGTGTGTATATATGTGTACGTGTGTATTTCCTTTCCAGACAGGTGCCCCATAAGCACAGAACCAGCAGCATATAGCTCTTAGTCACTTCATGCAGAATCAACTATTGGATGCCTCTGACACCACACACACACACACACACACACACACACACACACACACGCTTGCACAAAAACAGACACACATCAGCATGTGCCTTCCTCACCCAAATCTCCATCTCCACTGTCAGGGTGGATTAGACTAAGGACCTTCTCAACTTGTAAACACTTTGCAAACTCTCCTGGGACAAAACAGGAGGGAACTTAGACAATCCCCCTACAAAAGAAAAAAGAAAAAATGAAGGCCACAGCCAGAATTCCTGCTGTGGACTTAAAATGGCTGAAAGGTTTGACTGTCCAGAACTTTCCCCAGCCCTTGGGGCTCCTCTGTGGAAAGCTCCTACCTAGGGGGACACGTCTTGGGGGTGACTGGCCAGGGAGACGGGTAGCCAGGCTCTGGTCCGCTTCCCCATCTTTGCACGAGGAGCTGGCTCAGCCCTGGAACTACCCCCCCTCCCCACCCAGCTGCTGCCCACCCACTGAGAGTGGATGCCAGGGGAGGGCAGAGGACAGGGGGACCCGGCCATGCTTGGCTGAAGCCAGGTGACCACCACAGAAATGGCTCCTGGGAAATGTAGTTTCCCCCTAGTTTCCTGGGAAAATGGCGCTCTCCTGGGGGCATCCCTGAAGCAGGCAGCAGGCCAGGAACGCTCCCTCCCCGAAGGTACTAGGGGCACCCCCCACCCCTGGCTGCCCTCCAGGGCTGGAGCCACCACGTGGGCTCTGGAGAGGGCGAGGGGTTACCTTTCTGTTGAGGAACTCCCTGACCAGGGAGGCGGCCACCTCCTCCACGAAGAGGGTGTCCATGCTGCCAGCTCTGCCCACCAGGCCACGGTAGGCCGCAGCCCCAGGCCCCTCAGTCCGTTGGGCCCAGTATGGCCGCGTTGCCGTGGTGACGGTGGCATCAGAGCCAGCGAGAACTCCTCCCCTTCCCTGGGAGCCAGCAGGCAGGGAGGGCGGAGGAAGAGGAGGAGCCTGCTTCTAACTACTGCTGCTCTGCAGCAGGAGGACACAGGGAGAGAGCTGGGCTGCAGGCTCTCTGTGACTCTGGGCCTGTCATTGTGGGTGGCCTAGCACAAGTCATTGCTCCAACCTGTGTCTCCACCTCCCTAATCACAAAAGGGAAAGCGTGTCCGCCTGCCTGTTCCTGGAAGATTAAAGCCACCGTGAAGCACTTGGTTCACTGACCCGCCTGGCTCTGTGACCTGGACTATGGAGCAAGGAGGCCGGGCTTTGCTTCCTGAGTGCTGCAGTTAAAGGACATGTCCCTTCAGCCCCCTTGGAGCCAGCTTTCCCACAATGAGACCCCCCATGCATTGAGCACCAAGAGCTTTACACATGTTACCTCACCTTCAAGCCTTACAGCTTCCTGGCAAGGGGGCTGCCGCCAGCCTCATTCTCGAAAACAAGACCCTGAGATCCAGAAAGGCAGATTTTGCTGGAGGCTATGCAGTTAGGGACTGGAAAAGCTGGGGTTCCCTCAAAGCCCCTGTCTGCCCAGTGCTGTTTTCCCCAAACTCAGGAGCTTGGTATAGCTTCTCAGCCGTCCCCACAGCTGCTCATCCGACGCTGTATGCTGTATGCAATTGAAGGGCTGATGTAACAAATGCCGAGACAGTGTGGCTTCAACAGCAGGTTCATTGCTGCACAGTCCTAGGGCCTAAAATCCAACATCAACTTGTCGTCAGGGTTATTTCTTGAGGCCTATCCCCTGGGCTCCATCCTCCCTTGGTCTTTCCGACTTCCCTCTGTACATATCTAGGTCCTAATCACTTCTTCTTATAAAGACATCAGCCACATAGGACTAGCCCCCCACCCCCACCTCCAGAATGACCCAGTTTTAACTTCACTGTCTCTTTAAAGACCCTATCACCAAAAACAGTCACCTTCTGAGGGACCAGGGATCAAGAATTCAGCACCTGAATTTGGGGGACACACTTCAGCTCACACATGTATACTGTTACTTACGTGTGGTTTTCTTTAAACTGACGTTCCATGTTCTAAACTTTCTCTTAAAAGGAAAGGATTCCTGTCACAGGAGAGCAGGGAGTTGAAACTCTACCCTGGTTCTGGTGTTCCAGCACAAGAAAATTGGAAGGCAGACACCAAAAGTCATGCAGGAGACCTTCATTATAAGTGAAAGTAAAGAGAAAGTGAGGTGAAAGTAAAGTAAGAGCAGAGTGAGGCTCCAGCAGAGAGCACTCTCTCTCGGGAGAGAGAGTGGGCCGTCTCTGAGCAGAGAATGATGAAGGAGATGACGCTGTCTCCAAGTTTATTACTGTTCGATGTTTACCAGGAGACCTGGGGCCACCTGCTGCACTCTTTGCCAATCAGGTGTTCAACTCCTCCGTCACGTCAGGAGGTGGGGTCTTTGAACTTAGTTTGTCCTCTCCAGAACTGGCCTTCCTATTTAGGGGGGGCTTCATCTACAAGTCAATCCCATGATAATGTGGTCACTGGAGTCAGTAACTGATCAGAAGTTACCTTAGTGCCCCTGGGCTACTAAAGGAATCTCCCTTCCCAGACAAACCCAGACACCCAGAGCCATAATTCCTAACTTCACAGCAACATCAATGGACCCTGTCAAGAGTTAGTCCCATTAATCCTTTTTCTTTTGACATATTTTCCCATTAGCTCCTTTGCTTCTGTTTATTTTCTACAAATAAACTACCACCCTTCGCTTTCTTATCCACTTTGAAAGTAGTTTAAAGAAGACCCTAAAGAAATTTAAAGGACATTTTGGGACATCGCTGTGCATTTCACTGCCCATTGTTAGTTACTACCTAACATACCCAAGCAGTAATACCAACAAAACCTTGGGTTTGATTGCTTATTAAATCATATAAAGGAAATACAAAACCAGAAACGTATGCATGTAACTAAAATCTTCTTGTACCCACTTGAACCTCCTCCATGGAGCACAGGTACCGCACTTGGGAAGCCACCATGCCACACTAGGGTCTCCCAAGGAAATCGCTGCAACACGGCAGACAGCTTATCTTCGCTGGCCTCCACTGCTTACACCGACTGGGCTCTCTGAGAAAGCTCTTCGAGCGCTCAGAGGGTACATGTGTGTAAAGCAGGGAGGGGCAGAGCTGCAGTAAACAACACGATGCTTATCCAGGGGATTCCGTATCCCAGGTCCAAAGACACCTCATGGATGTGCAATGATAAAGAAGAGCACAGGACAGATTTAGCTCAGGTAAGAGATTACATATGGCAGACAGTCACCTTCTAAGGGACCAGGGATCAAGTCAAATATGTGATCAGTCAAAGCGAGGGAAGAGGCCCCTCCATGGAGAGCAAGGTGAAATTGGGGCAAAGAGAAAAATTCACTCATTCATACGGTCACTAATAAATATGAATTAAACCCCTCCGTGTGCCCAGTGTATGGGTGCCATGGATGTAGCCGAAGTTTTTCTGCTTTTTGTTTTGTTTTTGCAGTTCCAGGGATGGAACCCAGGGCTTCACATGTGCTAGGCAAGTGCTCTACCACTGAGCCACATCCTAGCCACATCCTAGGCCAACAGTGCATTAAACACTGTAAAACTGTGCCTTCTTGGAGAGAGAGGAGTGGGGACAGACAGAGGGCGGCAGAGGGGTGGGGGGAGAAAGACAATGAGCACAGCAAATGTTTTTAAAAAGTCAGATTTAAATGTGGGGGGGGAGGCACAGAAATAGAGGAGATTTTGGTGCAGATATTCCATTTTTTTCCAAAGTTCATCAAGTAAGATTGCTTATGTTGTACTATTTCAGCAAATATCTGACAGGAGAGGGTGTGAGCTATGCAGAGACTTGCAGGAGGAGCACTCCAGCCAGTGCAAAGGCCCTGAGATGGCATCCAGCCCAGTGGGCTTGTGAAATAGGAAGGCCAGAGGGGAGCAGAGAATGTGAGAAAACAAGAGTCCAGCCCTGCAGGCCTGTGGCCAAGAGAAATACTTTACCTTCTACTCTAACTGGGAACTCTTGGAGGGTTTGGGGCAGAGGAGAGACAAGATTTTGTCTCTTGCAGGGTCCTTCTGGTCTTACATTGAGAGTAGATTGTAGAGGGACAATCAGGGCAGCGGGAGACTGGTACAGCAACCATCAGTGATCCAAGTCCAATGCAGCTAGACTGCGAGTGTATGAGTGTGAGTGTGTGTGTATGTGTCTTACATTTTCCTGGCTCTGGAAGTTTCTACCATATCGGAATGGAACAAGGAAGCAAGAGAAGTGCAGGAATGTGTTCTTCTTCCAGACACACAGCTGGCTCCTTGGGGTGCAATAACTTTAAGGTGTCAAGGAAAAAAGCCAATCTTGTCAGTGTGGGAAGGCCAGAAGTGATCCTTCCAGAACTCTGGGGAGAAACTAGATGATATCATAGGTTCCATTCTTGTCCACAGATTTTCTGCAAGTCATCCTGACTGCACACCACTGTGTTCCCGTGAGCGGGAACATTCCCCCTGAGCATCGCATGGGAGCCCTGCTCTCCCGCCTGAGTGTGAGTGGTGGTTGAGACCCTCACAAAAGACTCTTTTTTAAAAACATGCTGGAGTTACAAGCAAAAAGGTCATTAAAATAAGCACCCAGTTATTATAAGTATCTCTGTGTGTTGGCGTCACATCACTGCGACGAAATACCTGAAATAAACAACTTACAGGGAGGAGAGGTTTGTTTTGGCTCACAGCTACGGTTTCAGTCTGTAGCCACTTGGCCCTCTTGCTTTGAGCCTGTGGTAGCACAGAGCACCATGACAGGAGCACATGACAGTGGAGTCTTTCGCCTTGCAGCATCTGGAAAGCAGAGTAAAAAGATGGGCCAGGGGCCCATATCCCCTTTGAGTGCACGCCCTCAATGACCTAGCTTCCTTCCCCTCAAGCCCACTTCCTAAGGTTCCACTACTTACCAATAACACCACAGGCAAGCAACCAAGCCCTCAACACCTGGGCCTCAGGGGTGCAGCGTGGGGGGGGGGGACATTCAAGATCTAATCTGTAGCAATCTACAGTCATTGAAAATGAAAAACAAATGCTTTTCCAAATACCATAGACAGGGATAAACCAACAGAGCATGCAAAATAAATAAGCATTATAGTGCATGTTTGCCCAGTACCCAGGAAATACAATTTCTCCACCCCCACATTGACTCCAAACCAGATTTAGCCAAGATGGGCATTAGCCTTACTCGCTCTTGGCAGTCCTTTTCATTCACCATCTCAGAAAATCAATGAACTACATGCTGAATCTTAGCAACGAAGTTGTGAGTGAAAAAGTGAACTCCCAAAAGATTACAGTGTTCATCAGCTTTCCATAGCTATGACACAATACCTGAGAAAATCAACTTAAAAGGAGGAAAACTTTGTTTTGGCTCCTATTTTCAGAGGTTTCAGTTCATAGTCACATTGTTTCATTGTTTTGGGACCATAGCAAGGCAGAACATTATGGAGGGGACCACAGGGTAGAGCAGAGCTTCTCACTTCATGATAGCGAGGAAGGAGAGAGAGAGAGAGAGAGAGAGAGAGAGAGAGAGAGAGAGAGAGAAGAGGGGTCAGGGTCCCAACATCCCCTTCAGGGACATACACCCAATGACCTAACTTTCTTCCATTAGGCCCCGCCTCCTAAAGGTTTCACCACAACCCAATAGAGCCAGAGGCTGGTGACTAAATCTTCAACCCAGGGGTCTTTCAGGTACATTCAAGATCTAAGATATAGCAAAACACATGTACACACAGACAGCACAACATCTTTGTGTAAACTTAAAAACGTAAACCACTGGCATCATTACTTGTAGGGAAATACAGTTTCAGGAAAGCTTTATAAATATAATATCAAGGGAATAGAGGTGACATGACACAGGACAGCAGTAGTCAGGGGAACCCATACAGGTGAATACAGGTCACTGTCAGTGTGCTGGGTATCACGAGGGCATTTGTTTCATAAGCATTTGTTCTATCATTTCTGTTTATCCTTTGGTTAATAAATGATGGCTTTG